GATCGACATGAACATGGACCGTCGTCGAGTGGAGCCAGCGCTCGCCTGTTGCTCCGCCGACGCTGACTGTTGAGTCCCTTCACCTGCACTCGGCGTAGTCGCCGATGCCGAAGCCAGGGCCGGAGAATCGCTGTCGAGTGCAACTGCCTCGTACGGTGGCGCATCATCAAGGTAGTGGGTTTGGGAATTCTCCTCAGAGCTCATGACGCTGTCGAAACTCCCGCGTGTTGCGGACAGGTCCAGCGCCACGCCGAGATGTTGTTGGGCATTGTGCTCCTCGTTCTGCAGCAGCGGCTCGTCATTCGGAGACTCCGGCATTGGCACATACTCGGACGACGGTCTCGTGTGGTCGAACGAGCCGTCGGGGGTATCCCTGCCGTTTTCGTCGACAACAGGCATCGTTACCGTAATCGGTATCGGCATGTCTTCCATGTCCTCAGGACCCCTGTTAGATTGTGTTAGCATCCTGCTCGTATCGGCATACATGAATGCATGTTTAAGCTCTGCAATCAGACAGGTAGCGCTGATATAGTCCCCGCTAGTGAGATACGGCAGCGCCTCTGCCCCGATGAGACAATAGCGGGTACCGCGACGACGCCTCGCATGGTGCAATAAAGTGGCGAAGGCTGTAAAGTGGAGACACAAGATATCCATCCGCAGGGATGCCGGGGGCGCCTCCGTCTTCCACTCTCGACCTGTGTCAGGGGGGTCATGTTCCCATTGAGAACCGAGCTCGAGAGCAGATCGGGGTCAGCATCAAGAGTGGTTGCTACATGGAGCGTGGTCGCGCGAGTACTAGCTCAGCCGGATATGCCGGTACCCTGTCATCTCCTCGCTACCGGCATCCACAGAAGGGCGCATATATCGACACCGACTCCAGAGGTCTGGTCGGGGTCGAAGGGACCGGGTTCCGATCGCACGACGGAATCCTACCGAGGGAGATAGGCTCCGGATGCGCAACATCGAGCCGGCATATATTCAAAACACTGCCCGAGCTATTGGCTCGTCAACCCGATGGGCGTTTTGGAGTGATTTGCTCACAGAGGACCAGTGCTGGGTGGACGGCATACGAACGGCGGAACACCACGGACGGAGTGATATCATGATACTGCGTGCGCGCTCACCTCACGATCACAATCTCCTGCTCCCCGGGCTCCTTCATGTATGCTGGCAGCGAGTGCGTCGAGATCTGGCTCGGGGTACGCCGCGTCCGACGGGGCCTCCGTGCGCGACCCGTTCCCGCATTCGTGGTGGCATTGGTAGTATTGCTGTTTGCGTTCGTGCCGGCGAGCTGGTCGGCAGTGACTTCCCGGGCACTAGCGGGTGTGGTCCCAGTCGTGACCCCGGCAGCCATGGCAGCTCCGGCGCCCCAGTTGGTCCACCCGCGCAGGTGCCGGCTACCGCAGGCAACGACGACACCGAGGGCGAACAAGACGCCAATGACGACCAGTGGTATCTGGAGGATATGTCTCGCCCTTCAGAGCCTGAATAGAGTGTGGTTTCGGGTATTGTCACGCACCCATACTTGTGGCCCTATGGCCATAGAGGATCCCTGGCCACCGCCTGACTCTTGCCTCCGGTAGACATTCGAGACAGTGGGTGCTGCTCCGACGAGAGACGACAAGGAGATGGCGAGAAGCGCGACGACAGTACAGTGATGGTGATACATAGCCGCGTCAAATACCGCGTTGCCGAGTTATTACGAGTTGTCGTCGGCAAGCGTAGACCAGCGACAACAAGACAGTTACAGCACTGAGGAGAGGAGGAACAAAGGGGGAAGAGGTGGGAAGGTAGAGGATAAGAAGAAGGAAGTAGGGAGGAAGAAGAGGGAGGGCAAGAGAGACCGTTGCCGCCAGGAACCTTGTCTTGACACATCCTATTTCAGTCACGCCCCGCCGTCAAACGCGCGATATAAGTTATCTGTTTCGGCGGGCAGTGCTCTCGGGCCTCCACCAACAATATTCGCTGTGCACACCCGACGCTAAACGGTGGTGCCGTGAGGCGTAGGCGGTCTTGTGTAACGAAAGGGGCGGGGCGACGATCTGGGGAACGGCCCTAATTCGGTCATCGGCTCGGAGGAACGCGTCGCGACGCGCTGCGCGTAGTAGCGCGTAGTATTGTGTATAGTCTCGCGTAGTGAGGTTCGCTGCAGATCATCTGGAAGCACACCGGATGATAGCCAAAAGCGAAAGAAAGGTGTTGATAGCTACAGCGAATCGAAGATCGTCCGTGTCGAGATGGTCGAGGTATACAGGAAAGCTTTAAAGTGGATAAAGCCCTGGATGTCTGAAGTACGGTGATATATGCAAGCGCTCGTGGTATGGAGTTAGCACGTAACATGGGAATGTGCAAGATACCAGTATCTCGGCAAATAACGGGAGGCGGAGTGGGGAGCATAGGTTACGAGTAGTATGGTGTGTATATCACTGTTGGGGACGCTAGATGACGCTACATGAGGGAGGCAGGAAGATTATACTGAGGTAAAAGCTGTTGCGCTCAATTGCCCGCACGGGAACGTAAGGCAAGGTCGAGCATCGACCCGGACGCGGACTGAGACATCCGGTGGAACGGCCGTGTGGGCGCAGGCGAGAGCAACTCGGGGGACGCGACACGACGCGGGGAAGGCGCCGCTGAGTTCGAACCGCTACGCGCATGTAGGTTGGGGCTCGATGGGGCTTGCGGCGAGGAGTGCGAGTGAGAGTGCGAGCGGGAGCGGAGACGACTCGAGCTGCGTGAGTGGAAGAGCGACATGAACCCGAACCGGCGGCGTGGCGTGTCGACCCCGTCCGACCGCTCACCAGGTGAGCTGGATGGGCTAGCGGGGCTCCTCGAAGTCGGCGGCGTGTGTGTAACGACCGGTGCTTGAGGTGTCACGACACGCACAACCGGACGCGGAGAGGTAGAGGCGGGTGGCGAAGGGCTAGAAGCGGACGAGCTCTGGGCAGGTGTGGCACTGGGGACCGTAGGACTGGGTATGGGCAGGGCAGGCACAGGAGGGACGTCGGCCGGGGATTGGAGGTGGGCATGTAGATTCGGCGTGCTCATTGCCGCTTCGTACGACGGTGCGGCATCGGCATAGATAGACGTCCATGGCGGAAGAGGGCAATCGTTGGGCAGAGACGATGCGACGGGAGTCGCAGCGTCAATTGGACTAAGCTGACGACTGAGCGTTACTCCTTCTGTCTGACTGGGTGATCCTGGCGGCGAGGACGTCGGCCCGACGGTCGGGGAGTTATCTACGTTAGGCTCGTTCTCCTCGACTGGAAGCATCACTGTTATCGAGATCTCGTCGTCATCTTCAAGTTCGGTTGCGCCACTGCAGAAGGTGGGTTGGTATATCAGCATGCTTCGTCGCAGGACAAACGACTCTCGCCCGCCAAGGCCCGTCCTATGGACCATTCAGGTATGGGTCAACGTATCGTATCCTTCGCGGGTGCCGGGCATATCATGGGGACAGCAGGGGTGAAACGGTGGCATATAGCCGATATTTTCTCATCTCGTTCCCTGTTGGGCGTCCCAGAGGACATCACCGTGCATATACTACATGCATGACGGATACGCTTTCCGCCAGCCCATAGAAGACGGCGTAGAGCGGATGGCAAGTAAAAGGCTATGCCGGGATCTGGAACAAGGAGGCGGAGGCTGCAGCACGCACGGTGTACTCAGAAAAGCACATTATGTGCACGGCGGGCATGACTGCAATTTCGATGACATATGCGCATCTGGAGACGAGAGATGCTAAGCGTCCCTCTATCAGCTTATCAGGTCGATGTGGGGGAGCAACCCCCATATATCCTGCCCATCCGAGAGCAATGCCATCACATATGTTGCAGTAATGCCCGTCGTTACAGCGGATGGGTACTGCGCCCGGAAACTGTGGTACTCACCGGTCGATAACGACTTCAGAGTCTCCCGGTTCCTGCGTATACATAGGCAGAGTCCGCGTGGATCCCAGGCTATTGCTGCGGCGGGCCTGCCCACGGGGGTTCCGATTCTGTGTAGAGCCATTCGCACCTTCGTCGGCCCTGTGAGCTTGGCGGGCATCCGGTCGGGAAACGTGAGACCCTGCGTTCGAGGTGCCCGCGCCGCCGCGACTTGAGCCAGAGCCCGATGCCGAACTGCTTACGCTGCTGGGTCCGGCCGTGGGTTGAGCGGATATCGCACGACCTCGACTGCCCCTGCGGGACGCGCACGAGCTGCTGGACGCCAAGAGTTCTTCTGGTGTCAGGACCTGTGCTTGCCCCGATCGGGCTTTCACTGCCTGCAGCGTCCGCACTGGAATTCCTGTCCTCAAGACTTCATCGGCCGTGACGCGTACAAGCCGAGGATTCGGGGCTGACCGAGTGCTTGACGAGGCGGGCGCACGGGAGGGTCTTGGGGAGTTGCGCGGGGAGGGATGCGATGGGGGCCTCGAAGGCGGTCGTGCGACGGTGAGTCCGGGGCCAAGGAGGTCTTCGATGGTCAATACTCGAGGTGTGTTCGAGTTCTTGGATTGCTTATGGGGTCTCGCAGGCGTGAGGCTCGTGCCGAGCAATTGGTCGGCCGTGAGGGTGACGACGCGGGGTCGGCTCGGCCCTGCAGAGGACATAGGTCGGTGTCTTGGACCTGCGCGTTGCAACCGCTTCACGTCTTGCACGAGGTGCTGGAGCAAGGTCAAGACGTTGCCGTCGATGCAGGTTGTGGTTAAGTATGAGGGAGGTGGGAGTCGGGAAGGATTCGGGACGGGGTGGGTGGATTTGGTGAGCAGGATGTGCCAAAGCCGGATGCCACTTTCGCGAAGCTTGAGGCACGATCGGGTTGTCGATCGGACCCGATACGAAACTGTCACGCATTTTTGCTCCGCTAAGCTGTGCTTCGGGAGCCTTTTGCACACGAGCGTTCGAACAGGCTCGGGGAAGGATGTACTTGCTGTCACTGAGGGAGTGCTGCGTACTAGGAGCAAGGCCGAATGAATTGGTTTCCCTGGCAGAAAGATGTTGAAGCTTTTGGAAGAGAAAAAAGGGCCCAACCGGGAATTGAACCCGGGACCTCGCGCAAGCTCAGGAGACCCGAAGCGCGAATCATACTACTAGACCATTGGGCCATGTTGCATTATTGCATCTGCGGTTTCTTACGTGTTCTCAAAGGTGATTCCAGGCCCTCGTCGAGACTCGAGTATGTCCCTGAAGGAGGACCGCAGCTTCACCTCCACACCATCACCATCTCCGCCTCTCGCATGGCATGAAACCTCTCTCGGCCGTGTCTACTCTTCTCGTCACTGCTGGCGCATGTCTTGCTGAAGTCCTCTCTCTCCGTCCTTCCCCGGGCAAAGATCTTGCGACTCATGTCAATGCCGTCCGGGACGGCCAGGTCTTCAGCGGACACGATGATCTCGAGCTGCTCGACATAGTTCTTGTTGCCTCCGTTGACGGCAAGCTACATGCCCTCAACAGGACGTCGGGCACAACACTCTGGTCTATGGCTTCGTCGACTTCCCCAGATACCGCGTCCGCCCCGGCAGCTTTTGGTCCTCTTGTGCGCACCGAGCACCCCGACCTCGACCAGGACACCACGGACGACGACGACCCTGCTCGAGAGATCTACGTGGTCGAGCCTCAGTCTGGAGAGATATATGTCATGTCGTCGCCAGATAGTCCTTTGCAGCGCCTTCCCTTCTCCATGTCTCAGCTGGTGGACATGTCTCCCTTCAGCTTCTCGGGCGACGAAGATCGCAGGGTCTTCGTGGGCAAGAAGGAGACGTCACTACTTCTCATAGAGCTCGAGACTGGGAGAATCAAGGCTACCGTAGACTCCGAGTGCCCGTGGATGCCTTTTGAAGACCTTGCACGCCCATCACGCCCAATTGACCTCGATGAGCTCGAGAGCCCGGACCCCCCACAAGAACCATTCACTCCGAGCGAAATATTCATCGGACGAACAGGTATGTGACAGGTTGAAGGTGCCCCCCTGCCGATATGACTGACCTGCACAGATTACCATATATCCATCCATACCCGCCCTGCCGGCTCTTCTGGTGGACGGCCACATGTACAGAAACTATCATTTTCTACTTACGGACCCAACAAGCAAGATCATGGTCTGCAAGCATTATACCATCGTACCGCCGATAATTCCTACATCCAGTCCCTCCCCACTGGCAAGATCATCGCCTTCAAGACGGCTGCTCCGGAACCCTCGGAGACACCACCCAGCGCGCATCCGTTGTGGTATCAGGTCTTCACTAACCCAATGTAGGTGAACCGCAAGCTCGGGACCGGCGTTCGTCCTGACCATGCTCTATCGTAGTGTCGCAACTTTTGATGTGCTCCGGTCGCCGAAGCGCTCGCAGCCGTTTGTTCTCCTTCAACCCCAACCGCGCTTGCAAGACATACTGCCCTCCGTCGACCTTACCGATGCAGCTAAACACAACAGACTACCTAACCTCGATGCAGCATACGTCGGGCTCATCGAGGAATCAGGTTCGCTGTATGCTATGAGTCCGGATCGCTTCCCTCTCGTGGTCTTTGGGGATGCCAACCCCGACTCCCCTCGGGGGAGACGCATGCTCGACCCTCCTCCGGGGGCTTCCACGGACTCTGGGAAGGACTTCCCACCGGAACTCGACAGTGCCAGGCGCATCGCGAAGGAGCGCAAGCTCCGTGAGGCGTGCAAGCAGGGTTCCACCGACATTCGCTGCCTCACTGGTGTGAGGAAGCTCGGGTCAGACAGCCAGTCCAGGATCAGCCGACTGCTTGATGGTGCACCCTCCGTCGAACCACAGCCCAGCTTCAACAACAACATCCCCGTGGTACCGCCTTCCCGAGAAACACCCATCGCCGACGCTCCCCTCCCTGACAGCACCAGTAACGCTTCGCTTAAGCCGCCTTTGGGCTGGGATGGCGTCGCGCCGCCCCCTCGTGCGGAACCTCATCCCCCGTCTGCGCTGCTCGGCATGAGTCCACCGACGCAAGCGTTCTCGGCGTTCACACTGTGCGCCATCGCGCTCCTCGTATGGGTGTCTATCCGCAAATACCTCGGATCGGCTTCCGCTCCACCACCCTCCACACAAGCCATCACTGCGCCCGTGCCTCTCCCTCCGGCTACTGAGGGGGGCGAGAAACCCACGCCCAATGGCGCGGCTCCGGACACGTCAGACGCGGAGTCTAAGCCTGCGAATGGACACGCCTCGGCTTCCGAAGAGCTTCCCACGCCTGCTCCGGCGGAAGACATACCCAATGCGAAGAAAGTCCTGTTTGCTCCCGAGGCTGTCGAGCCCTCGCCAGCCGCACCTGTGGAGGGCGGGAACGATGTGGCCGACGGCGAGGACACTGAGAAGGAGGGCGATGCGCTCGATACACCTGGCAAGCGCAAGGGTATTAGGCGCAAGCGCGGGAAGAAGAAGAAGGGGAACGTGACGATCGCTGTGCCGGCGGAGGAGGCGGAACAGGTCGTTGGGGAAGAGAAGAACGCGTCGAATGGGCAGCCTAATGGCGGTGATCAAGAGCCGCCGAAGGAAGCCGGACCGTCTATCGTGCTCGCGCCGTCGCCTCCGACTCCTAGTGTTCCTACCCTTGTTGTTTCGGACAACGTACTTGGTAGGTTTCTGGTGCGCATCGGTGGCTTTAATAACACTCATGTCTTCTTCCTAGGTCTTGGCTCTCACGGAACGGTTGTCTACAAGGGTTCGTTGCAGGGGCGCGCAGTGGCTGTCAAGCGCATGCTCGCAGACTTCGTCACTCTCGCCTCTCGCGAAGTGAACGTCCTACAGGAATCGGACGACCACCCGAACGTCATCCGGTACTACTACCAAGAAGCCCACGCAAATTTCCTCTACATCGCGCTCGAGCTCTGCCCAGCCTCGCTCGCGGACATCATCGAGCGCCCCGACCAATTCCGGGACATCGTCGTCGCGTTCGAGCCGAAGCGCGCCCTGCGCCAGATCACGTCCGGCCTGCGGCACCTGCACGCGCTCAAGATCATCCACCGCGACATCAAGCCGCAGAACATCCTCATCTCGTACGCGAAGAAGGGCGTCGGCGAGAACGCCGGGCACCGGATGCTCATCTCCGACTTTGGCCTCTGCAAGAAGCTCGAGTTCGACCAGACGAGCTTCCTGCCCACCGCGCACGGCTCCATGGCTGCGGGAACTGTCGGCTGGCGCGCCCCGGAGATCCTCAGGGGCGAGGTAAGCCTGACGGACGCGGGCTCGGACGAGTCCCAGTCGTCCCGCGGGAGCGTGGGCACCGCGGGCACGCCGACGCCGGGCACGCCGATGGGCAAGCCGACGCGCCTGACGAAGTCGGTCGACATCTTCGCGCTTGGGTGTCTGTACTACTACGTGCTCACGAACGGGGCGCATCCGTTTGGGGACCGGTTCGAGCGGGAGTTCAACATCCTGAAGAACGCGAAGAACTTGGAGGGGCTGCAGAGGTTTGGCGAGGAGGGCGCGGAGGGCGTGGACCTTATCACGCGCATGCTCAGTCCGGAGGCGTACGACAGGTCAGTATCTTCTGTTAATACCCCTTTACCGCAGGCGCTCACTGCGTTGTATACAGGCCCGACACGACGAGCTGTCTGCTGCACCCGTACTTCTGGGATCCAGGCAAGCGCCTCACGTTCCTGCAAGACGCGTCGGACCGCTTCGAGATCATGTGCCGCGACCCGAAAGACGCGAATCTGGTCGCGCTCGAGAAGGGCGCAGTCGATGTTGTCGGCACGGACTGGCACTCCCGCCTTGACAAGTTGTTCATCGAGAATCTGGGCAAGTTCCGGAAGTACGACGGTCGGTCTGTCCAGGACTTGCTGCGTGCGTTGCGGAACAAGGTAAGGCCTCGTATCTCGCTAGGAAGTTGAGTGTCGTGCTGATCCGTTTTGTGATAGAAACACCACTACCAGGACCTCCCGGACAACGTGAAGCGGCTCCTAGGCACAATGCCAGAGGGCTTCCTCGCATACTTCACCCGCCGCTTCCCTCGCCTCTTCCTCCACGTGCACGGGGTCATCTCCAATTCGACGCTCCGCACGGAGTCTATGTTCCGTTCGTACTACGAGATCAAGGACTGAGTGCCCGGCTTCCGTCCTCGCCCCCTTACCGCAGCCACATACACATACCACCACGCTCCCCTCATCCACTCGCATCCAGGAATTCGGACTTGACGCCACCTCCATCTCATATCTCTCTTGCACATATATCTCTCACCGGGCCCGATTGTTTATTCGTCTTTGCTAGTCCTCCTCCCCTGCTACTGTATCTGTACCACCGTATCGCTCGCTGCTGTGCTGTTATTAGGTCGCCGTCAAGAAGCTCGAACCGTCTACTACTGTACCATCCCTTGTCGCTCGTGCCCTCGCATGAAAATGTAAATACAGTTGCTCGGAGCGCACCATCGGATAGACATTGGAGTACACACCCGACGAAGCAGAGGGATACCCAAACCCGCGAGTACGCATGCTGCAGAAGTATTCACGAGCGCCTACGCGAACGTACTTGTCAACTGCTTCTTCAGCCTCTGCCTCCGTTCAGTCCTCCTTCACCTCCTCGCATCCTCGGCTTGCTCACCGCAAAATGCCCGACATCCCCGTCGGCGCGCAAATATTTGACCTCGCGTTCCACCCCAACCGACCAGTAGTCTTCACCGGGCTGCTCACCGGCCATGTGAAGGCGTTCGGATACGACGAGCAGGGCAACCACGAAGCGAAGTTTTCCCTCCGTCCTTCAAAAAAGTCGTGCAGGGCCCTCGCGCTCAGCGAGGACGGCGCGCAGATATGGGCCGCGGGGAAGGCAAAGGCTATCCAGTACGTCCCGCACTTGCCTGCAGTCGAAATGTGAGACGCTGAGGCTCGTTCTGCTACCGCAGCACGATAGATGTAGAGACGGGCGAGGTTTCGGACGTCCGCGCGGGGGCGCACGAGTGAGTAATTGCCTGTCGGAGGGTACGAGCTGCCCCGCTGACCTGGACAGTGCTCGGAAGCGCACCGGTCAACCGTATGAAGCGATTGCTCCCCAATTTGCTTGCGTCGGGAGACGATGACGGGGTTATCAAGGTGCGCATGCTGCAGGTCCGCTTCATTAAAGAGCGTATATTGAGTCAAGGGCGCGTGCGC